GTTTTGCAAACTCACGATACCACACTTTGCTTGTAAGAGAAGGTGGACAGTGAGTGAGTCCTGAGACAGTCTGGCCAGCTGGAACTCTGGGAGATCTTAGAGACGGGAGCTTTCCATCCATGACTCCACAATATGCTTCAACGCTCATCCAGAGTAGAGGATAGGAATTGAGACTGTGATTTTCAAAAGGCACCTAATTACCTAATCCCATGGGAGCTGGGCAACCAAATCCCTTAGGAGGCTTTGAAAAGTCCAGATTTAGCCTCATATTCCATCCTTACCAGTATCAGTGCTTTCTAAATTGCTTTGGGATTCCTTGTCTATCGCAAACTCTATTCAGAATCAAATTATTTTCTACAGTCATTTCTGATTGCGAGTGAGATGCTGGAGCATATGTATGTTTTATTTATTTCTCCTACAGCTCAGTCTTGATTTTATTCATTTCCATGTGTGTTTATAAAACTTGTATTTAATAATATATTGCTCTTTGTTCATTATTGAAGGAGAAATTCAACTCATTACAGCTCTTGTTGCAATGGCTGTCACTTGGACTTATCAACAGACACTTTAGTACTTAATAGCTTTGCTTCAGTCTCTTCTGTAAAAGACAAGGCGGTGCCTAGGTGCTATTTAAGCTAGTTAGAAGAAAGTCAATTACTGGATATTTGTCTCTAGAGCATAAAAAAGACCAGTCATCCCCATCACCAGTTTTTTATTTTATTTTCAGATTTGCTGCAGGGAACATTATTTAACATTCCTACTCGGCAACAAGATTCAGCTGGACCTTTGCAGTGTCAGATACTTGAGGTTGACCTAACCCCACTGTAAACACAACTACATCAACAAAATAATTCTTCCATCAACCCAGCTTCCGCCTCTTGGAAAGGTGGGTTTACTACAGCAATGGAAAAACCTCTGCCATCACTCTGGTAAGTGTTGACACGACAATGCTACCACAGTGGAACCTGTAGTGTAGACATACACTGAATGTAAATACTCTGTCTTGGTTACTATATTCTTACAGCCTACCAGGCATAGGTCTCCCCTGCCTGGCTCTGAGTGTAATCATTTACTCCTGTGTAAAGTAGATGGAAAGGTGAGGTGTAAAACACCTCTGCTCAGAATGGTAGCACTTCACACTCACTGGGAAGAGTAATGGTAAGCAATTGTGAATGGGTGGAGAGGTGCCCAGGAGACAAAGGGTGTGATTCTTCACTCACTCCTGCTAGTTTTACACCAGCATTACTCCATGGACTTTCAGTAGATACACTCCTGATTTACACCAGTGGAAGCACGTGAAGATCCAGGCTCAATTCTATGGTAAATGTGGTCCACACACTAAAAGGCTTTGAGAACCCATGGCCTAAACATTATGCCTGCTGGAATAGACTGTGCATCGGTGAGATAGATGTCATTGGCTCTTCTCTCCTCTTGGTTGTGTTGTTTTCTGAGCTGTTCCTGTGATGCTCTGCTCCAGAACAGAGACATGACTGCATTCCCCCTGCTATATTACAGACCCATCTGGTTACTGTACAGCAATCTCTGGGGTTTGAAGCTACCTTGTGGTGTCTCTTTGTTTTTGGTGTCTTTTGATCTCCTTTGAAAATTCTTGCACTCTTCCTGGTTTGATAGTAAAATTATTCCACTATTAAATATAAACTTGTGTGAGGATGGTTCTGTATCCATAACAACATTCATTCGTTGCAAGGGGCACATGCGCTCTGCTACCTACAGCACTCAGGTCTTTTTCACTGGTACGTAGGTAGGTGAGCAGCTTGATTTTACATGTGATTAAATGTCACAAAGATTTAACAGGGGGGCTATAAGGAAGCAGCACTGGAACAGTGCAGTGATCTCAGCCTTCACAGATAACAATGATGAAATCCACTTTCAGATTAATGGCCTCATTCCTCTCTAAGGACCTCCTATGAATATCAAGATTGGAACATAGTCTAACTTAATTGATTGACAAGCTGCAGGTAGATGGGTGAGGAGTTCATGAACAGGCAGATGCTCGCTTCTCCAGATGGTAACTGGAGTATATGCAGAAGGCAGTTCAGGCTCTGTCTACACTATGCACCTTTTAGTGACACAGCTGTGTGCTACAGCCTTGCCACTATAAGGCGCGAAGTGCAGCAGTGGCAGCTTTGTCGTCAGGAGAGCTCTCCTGCTGACAAAGCGCTGTTCACACCAGCGCTTTTCGTCAGCAAAACTTTTGTCGTTCGAGGGTGTGTGTGTTGTTCTCACACCCCTGAACAACAAAAGTTTTGCGGACGAAGTTCCAGTGACGACAAAGCCTTAGAGTGGTGTGGTAGTTGAGAATTTATGCAGCCTTATGCATATCTTGCTTGCTTCAACCCTTCCTATAATAAATACAATACATCGCAATTTAGAAGTTGCAAAGATGAACCAGCAGAGGCTAGACTTTTGCTGTCTTGAAATATAACCTCGTGTCCAACCAGGTGGCTGTTCTGGAATTCTGGATAGGTCGATTTCCAGTCTGTAGATACTTGATTTTCTATCTTCCAGGTTGCACCACAACATAAAGCCAAGAAGCCAAAGCTCAGTATGCCGAGAGGCTTCTCAAGCCTGGGCCTGATACTATTTTCTCTAATCAAAATCCACACAGAAACAGATTCTCAGCTGGTGTGCACTGATGGAGTGACTGGAGCTACGCTGCTTTACACCAGCCGAGAATCTGTACACTGATTTCAGCGATGTCAGATCAGAGCCTATGTCACAAATGGAGGAGCGGGATATACATAAATACTCACCAAACTGCTATACACTAACACTTTTCTAATCTAATCTAATCTAATCTAATCTAATCTACCGGTTCATGCATTTGTGGTATTTATATGGCAGGACTGTAGTACAGCTATACAAAGACAAGGTAGAGGAGGTAATATCTTTTATTGGGCCAACTTCTGTTGGTGAAAGAGACGAGCTTTCGAGCTTACCCAGAGCTGTTCTTCAGATCTATGTAAGCTCAAAAGCTTGTCTCTTTCACCAACAGAAGTTGGCCCAATAAAAGGTATCATCTAACCCACCTCGTCTCTCTAATATTCTGGGACCAGCACAGCTACAACACTGGAAACGTATAGAAAAACGTATACAGTGAGGCTCTGCTGTATAAGCTACTAAGCATTAAAATTTAAACCCAAAGGGATCTGCTTCTGTGAGCCCTATGCCCTATGCCCACATGCAGTCCCACTGAAGTCAGATCACATTGCAAAACTGGGTCCTACGTGAATTACTAGAGACTCATACCAGCCACATGATGGTAAATGCCATGTGAAACAGCTGTGTGGATGGCACTTTTTATCAAATGGGCAGGTGTATGTGTGTGTGTATTTATATATATTTCATATTTATATTATGTTTTTCATCTAAATTACATTGTGTTACACTCTACATTTCAAATAACTGGTAAAATGGAGAATTTTTGTAAAATTTTAAAGGATATATATACACTGTCAAATCCATTTTGAATGTAGATGCAACACTCAGAGCTAATATATGGCAGATGCATTTCATTTCTGCATGGCAGCTGTCCATTTGTTGCTATCCTATAGGTCCAGAATGCCAACATTTGTAAATTTTCCGGTCCCATCTCTGCCCCCTGAGATGCAAGATGGAGACACACCCTAGATACCTGCCTGGGGCAGAAAAAACACATCTTTCTTCTACTACCTTCCATCAAGTCCCCTAAGCACTGGATTCTTGGCAGACAACATTGCACAGAAGATAAGAAATATTTAGGCTAGATCTACACTACAAATGCTACAGTACCGCAACTGCACAGCTGTAGTGTAGACACTTACTACAGTGTTGGAAAGGGTTTTCCATTGCTGTAGGTAAGCCATCCCCTTGAGAGGCAGTAGCAAGGTTGACAGAAGAATTCCTCCATCCACCTAACAGAGTCTAAAGTGGGACTTAAGTTGGGTTAACCACATGTCTCAGGTGTGAATTTTTCACACCCCTGAGAGACATAGCTCGGTTGACCTAAATTTTAGGTGTATACTGGGCCTTAGTCTCTAGGAGCTATAAGAATCTGATTCTGCAATCCTGGCTCTCGTATAAGTTGGCAGGTCCAAAATGAAGAATGCAATGCATGTGTTATATTTTTGCACTGAATGTATTAGTATATCACTAGTAAACCCCAGAAATTCCCAGGAGCTGGTGGTTATGGTCAGCATTTAATTATGTATTACATGCAGTAGCTTTTTATTTATTTATTTATTTTTTTAAAAAAGCTCGGACATGATAAGACTACAAAGGGACCGCACTGCCAAAAGGGTGAATAACTCCTGATAAAGATAAAAAATAAGGATGTACGCTTTTTATCACAGTGGAACCAGGCTGGTGTGTAATAAAGGGCAGCAATGGAAACCCCACTGCTTCATACATTTAAAACAAGATTAGATGAAAATACATTGTAGTGAACTAGATTGTGTGGGTATAGATGTGGGCAGATGAGTGTGTTTGTGTAGGTGTGAGTAAATGCACATGTGCGTAGATGTAGGTAAGGTGTGTGGATGTACCACTGCCCTTACTAGATACAAACAGAAGTGGCAGTTGTGTCTCACATGACTTATGCACAATGATTTTGAGATTTGCCATTAGCTTAAGTGTAGCAAGTTGGGCTTTTGGAGCAGAAGGCTTTGAATTCTATCCCTGCTTTTCTCATAAAGTTCCCAATGGCCATGCTGTGTGACACAGGGACAACAGTTAAATACCAATGTGACCATGTTCGTTACAATATCATAACAAACAATCCTTCCCCTGTGGGGGAATGGTCTAGGTGACCTAGCCCTGTGATTTGTGTATATCTTTTATTCTTCCCTTAATGATAGCAACTCCCATCATGATAAAATGCTCATGTTGCGTCTGTGTGGCTTGTGATACTACCAGTAAAGCAGCGTCACCGTTAATGCGGTGTGACTGTAAACTCTGCAGTCTGGCAGTGGAAGGTGCTGTCTGGGATAAATGGGACTTACCTTTTGTGCTCTTCGCTTGTCAGCTCTCTGATTCTGATGATAAATTCGGCTGAAATTGGAAACAATAACTGGGACAGGCAGAGCAATGACCAGCACTCCGCTCAGCGAGCAAATGGAGCCAAATATCTTTCCAGCAATCGTCTTGGGCACCATGTCACCATAACTAAAGGGAAACAAAGACAAAAAGAGGGCCCGCTGCTTTAGACAAAGCCAGCCATGCCAAGAGTCTGTGTAATTTCACTGAGCATGCAGATAAACTGAAAGGTCAAGCTGGACAGTAAAGTCTAATAGCCAACAATAGTGCATTGGTGCATTTCATCCCAAACAATCCTAATACTACCTCCATGGCAAAAGTATCGTTGGATTCAAAAAGAGTGTCTTGATAATAGCCAAAGTCAGGCCTTGAACAGGAGCCTTACCAAAAACTTAGAACAGCCTTCTCTTGGTCCCCAGTGAATATATAGTCAGAAACTGTAACTGGAATTTTCAAAAGGACTGGTTCATTTTAGGTCCACAACTAAAGAGAGTGGCAATCTCATGTCATGGTATCTGCATAAGATGATCACTACAGAGATCAGGAAGGCGTTTCCTCACAATGTGCAGCATTATGCTATTGGCTAGCTGCATTATGGTTTGGATTTCGCTTTTCATATGTTTGTCTGAAGTACAGGTGTTGGCCAGGGCTGAAGGCAGGATGTTGGCCAGGATGGACCAGTGATCTGAATCTGTGTAGCAAATCATATGTAATGGAGGGATCTGATTTACCACCTCTTTTACACTGGTGTCATGCTACTGATGTCTGTGGAGTTACGCCTGATTTACCCCACGGTAGGTCAGAAGAGAATTAGGCCCTTTGGCTCCAATAAATGTCAGAAAAGCTATGATTTAGAGCTCTGCAAAATGACTGAAACCCAAAGCCAGGTCTGCTGCTGGGCTTATCTTACAAACTCAAAACTGAGTTTGTGTTCATTGAAGGATTCACTTAGGATTAATAAGGAAAACTTAGGTTGATTTATATATTTACATAAAATCCCAATGGACACTTCTGGTTTCACATATATTCAGAAATTTTTGATTTATTTAAACCACAAACTCAATGAGAAATTCAGGCACGTGAACCCAACTGGAGAATGGAAAATATTGAAACAAATCTCAGAAAACTCCAACCTACGTTCTGTACAACTCTCTCTTCATTAACAATTTTATTTTGCATTTGGAATAATGCTGGTATAAGCAGAGATAAAAGAATCCCCTTAATTTTTATACCAATTGAAAATCATGTTGATTTAACTTCTTTAGGTTTCACACGACAAAAACTACCGCAGAGTAAAGTGCTACTTTACTGCTGGTTTGTGTTTTTATTTTGCATATTGCAAAAGCTTTCTGCTGTATTTGATACCTAAATCCAGCACTATCTTTCTGTGGAGAAACCCTCAATGCTTTGACTTGTGGTAACTCACTATTGCAATAAGAAGCAGCATGGCTGTTATTCCCTAAGGGAACAAACTCCTGTAACTGCTCTGGACTCCGACAGGTGATTGGCTGCTCTAGCTCACTGACTGCCATATTATAGTGAAGGCAAAGCACTGTAGCGAAGGTAATTGGGATTCTGAATTTACGGTTTAGTCTGACACAATCCCCATATTGCATCACAAATGATTGGACCCTTTAATTCCAGCTGACTGCTCCATCACTCATGATTCCTCCATATCACAGCACAGCTTATCAGAATTTGGAATTCTAATGGCGTGCCAGCTACTGGCAATGCTTCAGCAACCGCCCTGCTCTCAACAGATGCAGAGGTGACCGTGGCCGGAGAAGGGTGTTAATGATCACTTGCCTCCAGAAGTGATTTCAGTGCTCTCTTCTGCAAATGACTGTCAGACAAGTCAAACTCACACCCGGAGAAATGAATTACAGTGTCTTCAGAGCAGCCAGTAAAGATTGCATTGTAGTTAGCACCCAGGTGATGTAATAGGAACATGATTAAGTCAGTTATCAACTGAACTTATTGGCATATATGAGTTGCCTTGTTAAAGCATTCATTGTGTATGTTACCATCAGAGCAAATACAAATGGCTATAAGCTGGAGGAAGGAAAAACAAAAACAAACAGTAGAGCAGACATTATTAAGGCACTCAGGCATTACTGTAACTTGTTTAAATATGTATTGCAAATGAGAACCCAGGTTACAAACCTTTGGGGCACAAGAAGTGGAATTTTCAAAAGCTCCTATGAGACTTAGGAGCATAGCTCCATTGGGACAAGGTGGAAAGGCTCTGCCTGTGTTCAGCATGTAAAGGATTCCCTGGCTCCCTGCCTAATTCTTGGCTCATCTAGGGCGGGGCTGTGATCGGAAGGGGGAAATGTAGAAAAGGGGGCCAGGAGAAGGGTGTGTTCCATCTCTGCTCTGCTTACTGAAAACTGGAAAGAAAGGTCTCTGGCTGCTGTGACCTGGTGTTTTGAGTCACGTTGCTCATATTTTGGATCTTTTTGTTTTAATGCCGTGAACCCTGAGGACAGGGGCTCAAACTGACTTATGGGCTTTACCTTTTTACCATTTGCTGGCTGGCAAATCTGCCTGCCTGCTTCCACCATCCATGAGCTTTGATGGGTAAAGCTTCCTATGCAGAGCAGAGCCATAAGCAGAAATTCTATCTGGTGGGACATTCCAATATTTGAACATATTTTTCCTCCTGAACTGGGATGGAAAGCTGAAATTATTGACATTTTTTGCAGAATGAAAAGGTCCCAAAAATGTTGATTTGGAAATGTTGGAATGTTTTGTTTTCAGCATCGCAAACTGAAATGTGTGTGATGGACAATTCCCAAGCTGCTCCGCTTCTATAACTTCGGAATGCACTAAGGGAGTGGTCAGTTCTGATGGCTCCTCCTGACTGGCTAAGATTTGCATGCATCCTGTTGTGACACCCCTACCCCCATTCCCTAGACCACTTGTTTGTCCCTACGACTTTGTCCGTCTTGTCATTTAGAGTATAACCTCACTGGGACAGGGACTGCCATTTCCTGCATGTCTGTACAGTACCTAGCACATTGGGGCCCTGGTAGGTTGGCCTTTGGTTGCTACTGCAATGTAAATGACAATAAGAAGTGTGTGTATTGTGAGATGTAGTGTGAGACAGTTGCTAACAAAGGTGTATCGAAATTTGGACACTAGGAGGCAATCTCTTAAAAAAAATGCACACACACAAAAAAAAAAAGGGGTGGTGGTGAGAAAACCTGGATTTGTGCTGGAAATGGCCCACCTTGATTATCATACACATTGTAAAGAGAGTGGTCACTTTGGATGGGCTATTACCAGCAGGAGAGTGAGTTTGTGTGGGGGGGGGCGGAGGGTGAGAAAACCTGGATTTGTGCTGGAAATGGCCCACCTTGATTATCATACACATTGTAAGGAGAGTGATCACTTTAGATAAGCTATTACCAGCAGGAAAGTGGGGTGGGAGGAGGTATTGTTTCATGGTCTCTGTGTATATAATGTCTTCTGCAGTTTCCACAGGATGCATCCGATGAAGTGAGCTGTAGCTCACGAAAGCTTATGCTCAAATAAATTGGTTAGTCTCTAAGGTGCCACAAGTACTCCTTTTCTTTTTAGTCATGATACAAGCTTGGATTAGCATCTTCCTTCATTGGGGAAAATAAGCTGTTTGCTGACTGTGGTCACCAGCAGTGGTTTCTTATTAGCATTAGGGTACCATAAAGAGGCCCTGACTGAGATCAGGGCTCCACATGTGGGAAGAGTTGGTTCCTGCCTGAAAGCTCACAATAGAAATTAACAAAACAAGGAGTGGGGGAAAGGGAGGACTGTTTTGCACATGTGGCACAGAGAGGTGACCTGCCAAGGGTCTGTGGCAGAGATGGGAACTGAACCCTGCTCTCGTGAGTCCCGACCCAGCACTTTCAGCCCAGGACCATCCTATTCAAATATAATAAACTTGAGCTTTTCCCCACCTGGGGTTACACCCGGAGGGTGGCCATTCACACACTTTACAGCATCACTATCCGCACCCCTGTGCTGATGTATAAGTAGAAAAATACCTGATCAGGCACAGTAACATGACAGAAATTTGGGTTCTCTTATGGGGCCCAACCCTGCAAAGTGCTGAGAGTGCTCCTAGCCCTAAGCCCATCTTGTTGTTTTTAAAACTTGCTCTCCTTTGCCTGCTCTCTTGTGCTTCGCTTATTACATCTCTTTAGGTATTTGCTGGTCCATGCGCCAATCTGGCTGTGGGGTGGGGATTGCGGGGTGTCTCTGTGTGGAATGCGGAGTGCTTGGTGGAACACAGTTGTAATTTCAGTCCATTACACACAGTGTATCCACAATTGTGCTTGAGGGTCCCTTGTGTGCTTTCTTTCCATGCTGAAAGGTGCATAGGCTATTTGGCCCAATATCTGACATAAAAAATCATGACAGGATCTTCTCTGGGCTACTGCATTCCTTTGTCTCCAGCAAAAGGCTCTATTTAAGGCACAAAGGGTCAAGTGACAGCAGCCTTTCACATCTCTGTAGCATTTTCAGTTTTCTGAATTTTCAGTAATTGCCTCGCACGACTGGCTGAAGTTTAATTGAACCATGCAGAGCCCCTTTTCTGGATTCACCTGCAGTCAGTGTGCTAAAGCCCCATGTGGTGCCTCTAATCAATAAATCATTCTTTGTCTGTTAACTTTTTAGACACTGCCTTACACAAAGATAGTTTAAAGGCTCTTGTTAAGCAATAACCTCTTCTGCCTCATTTGATGCTGTCAAGATTCTTTTTTTTCCCCCTTTTCCCCTGCTGCCCCTGGACGCAGTAGAACTGCAAATTAATCATATGCCTCAAACACAACCCTGCTGACCTGCAGCATAGAGACAGCCCTACTGTGCATCTGCAGAAGGTGTAATAACTGTCTGGCACACGCTCCATTTTCATGAATTCGGTTTAGTATGTTCATACAGACCGATTGCGAGCTGCCCTGTTACTCAGGGCTTCAAAGGAAGCGCTATAAAAGGGTCAGACAAGCATAGTGTGTGGAGAGGAAGCTTGCTTAAGATATTCTTACCTTGACTTGGACAAACACTGGGAAATATACTGTAAGGAGCAATTCTGCACTGGCTCAAGTAGGCTGGACTGGAATGAGACTTAATAGGTCTCTCCAATGCTG